CTGTATCATTCACTTCATTTTCTATGTAAAGAAAATGAGACTCAGAAAGGAACACACTAGTCTCAAAGTCATTAAGCTGTTTACCTGCAGAGCCAGGACTAGAATCTAGAATGTCCTTCCTTCCTTTCTTCTACATCAAAGTCCTTGTACACATTTTCACCACTTATGTGGCTAACCAGCAGAGTAAAAGCCCATGAATATTACCTTCATTAAAAAAGTTAGGTATTTTCCCCTCAAATTATGTATTTTGTCACCAGCATCATGGATTCTCTGTGACATAGACTGGTTGGCTTTATACAACAATAATTTTTAAAAACCTATGATTTTATGATTTATAATGTGTATTTGGTCTTAGTTCTCATTTCTGTCACAGCTCTCCTAAAACCCTTGAAATTTCTTAAGTGTTGAGAGCAATAAAGATGCCTTTTGTGCCCTGACTGGTTTTGCTCAGTGGATAGAGCGTTGGCCTGCGGACTGAAGGGTCCCGGGTTCGATTCCGGTCAAGGGTATGTACCTTGGTTGCAGGCACATCCCCAGTAGGGAGTGTGCAGGAGGCAGCTGATCAATGTTTCTCTCTCATCGATGTTTCTAAGTCTCTATCCCTTTCCCTTACTCTCTATAAAAAATCAATAAATTTTTTTTTTAAAAATATGCCTTTTGTTATGTTAATAAGGTGACCTTTGGAGCACACCTAAGGAAGGCAGCTGGTTGTCTGGAAAGCCAACCATGTGATTAGAAGGTTGGAACTTTCAGTCCTACTTCTCCCCACCACCTCCAGGGGGAAGAGGGGCTGGAGATTGAGCCAGTTGCCAAATGCCCAGTTTCTTAATTAATCAGGCCTGTGTAATAAAGCTTCCATACAAGTCCAAAGGAGGCGGTTCAGAGGGCTTCCAGGTTGGTGAACACATGGGGGGAGCATGGAAGTGCTGAGCCCTTTCCCCACGCTTAGCCCTATACAACTCTTCCATCTGAATATTTATCTGTAGTTTTTAGTGTGCCTTTTAAAAATAAACTGGTTAATCCAATAAGTAAATTGTTTCTCTGAGTTCTGTGAGCTACTCTAGCAAATTAAGCAAACTCAAAGAGGGGTTGTGGGAACCTCCAACTTATAGCCAGTCTGCCAAGTTCAGAAGTACAGGCAGTAACCTGGGTTGGGAGTGGGTGAACAGTGTTGTCGGACAGCTAACCTGTGGAATCTGGTGCTACTGCTGGGTAGGTTGTGTCTGAAATGAGTTAATTCTTACATACCCTGCTACTGTCCATGAATTGTTTGTTGGTGGTGTGAGATCCCTTCCCTCCATCCACACATGGAAATTAGTTCCCAGAACACCCATTTAAAATCATTTTAGACTTCTACTCAAAAATGAAAACTGATTTCCAAAGCTATAAATCTTTGATTGCATCACTAAGAAACAGAATAGAACCTAAAGTGCTCTGAAAAAGAGGGGGGGGGGGGGGGACAGGAGATTGTCAGTGTGATTTTACAGTTGGTATTCTTCACAGGGAGCCAGAGCAGAGTAGAAAAGCATCTGTCATCAAATGTTGCAAAGGCCACTGCCCTAGTTAAACTGTTGTGAACTGGGGCACTTGAGTCTGAGTAATTCAGGACTTTTATTTTCAGCACATGTCCCCAATCATTCCTGTAGAAATGAAGGCCACCTCTTGACTCCAAATATGCCATTTACCCTTAGCGCATACCCTGTAACTTTTATCCAACCAGTAAAGATAGAAAACTAGAAAAATGTTACATTCTCAGATAATAGAAGTAGAAAGCATTTGAGCACAAGGGAAAGTGAAAAAGTTTTCTAGGATCTACAAAACCAAAAAGACATATTTCTAGTTGTATGCCCTAAATGTGCTTCCTTTCACTTTATCATTTGCTCTGTAACATACCCTACTGACCATAAATGTTATCATTTATTTAAAAAGAAAAATACTTCCATTTCATAGAAACCCAAATAATGCATACACACTGGGAATGGGGGAAGGTGGCCTACATTTGGAGAGATCTTTCTATCCAAATTCTTACTAGATCTGAATACGCATAGCTTATTTCAACGAGAGTTCAGAAAGATAACCAGGAGTGATGCAAGTATCACTTTAGTCCCCCAGTAATTCTAGATTCTTCTATGGTCTTTTATTGTATTATTTTTCCCTGACAGGTAAAGCTCTTTGGCTTTGTTTAGTATTGGCCAAGGTCAAGGGGAAAGGATAAATCTGAGTAGAATGAATAGTAGACATGCTGACAGCCATGACGATGTAATGGGATTTTTTTTTGTTCTGTAATAGTGTTATGCTGTGGTTATGGACTCAGGAATGAAGCTTCTTGGACTCAAATCCTGGTTATTGGCTGAATAATGCTGGGTCTCATCTATAAAATGAAGGTGCAGATAGGAGCACTTCAAAGAGTTCTTGTGAGGTTTAAGTGAGTTGATAATATAAAGCATCTAGATCAATGCATAATGAGTCCTCAGTAAATATCAAAATTAGGAAAATTTAATACATGAAATTTCTCATTATGTCTTCTAAATATTTTCATATAGTTACCTAGTATTAAGTCATAGATTAACAATAATTGATTTTAACTCACTGCCTATTATAATAGTTTTAGATTGTTTCCAATTTTTCAGTTCATATTGTCTTATTTTTTCAGATTAACCTTAAAATTACTTTTCCAATGTCTGAGAAAAATAGTCATAAATTTTTAATTGGAATTATATTAAATCTATACATTTATTTGGGGGAATATTCTTTTACAAAGTCTATTTTTATCATCCTGGTATATAATATAGCTATTTACATATTGTAGTATTAAAAAGTGACCTAATATTTTATAATTCTTTTCATAGAGATCATTTATATTTATTTTTACATTAATTCTTAGATAATTCATAATTCTGCCATTAGTAGCTTTTAAATAGAATTTATTCTTATTACTCTTAGGAAATATTTGGTATTTTGTTTAGTGGCTTTTTATACAGATGCTATAATTTTTAAAGTAAAAAAAGTCAAACATTTTTTGCATAGAAAGTCTCAATTTATATTCTGAATTTAGAGCAAATTTTACCTATAACTTTTTTTTAGTAAAACCACTTTCTAAAAGGTAAAAGTTTTAAGTCCATAATATAAATATATCTCTAAGAAATATGGTGATATTATGGAGAATCACTACAATAAACAAAATTCTTGCTTCATCTTCCTTAAACAATGAGTCAGTAAGATAATCTCAGTCAAATAGAAAGCAAAAACTTTAAAAAAAACCTCACTATTTCATTAACGGATCCATTAATGGATTATAAACTACAGAAGTCTAACATTTACTACTGTTTTGCCTTCTTTTCTACTCATCCCTACTTCAGCATTCTTTTCATAGTTCTGTAATTGCCTTAATTATTATTTACTTTGTTTACTATCTATTTCCCCTCCCCCACTGATTTACTATCTATCCCCCTTATTGGTTTCAGATATGCTATGTGTGAGAATATTATACATATGTTAAGAGCTTAGGAGAGAGTGTTAGATGGGAGATGGGAATTTGGGAGCCATTAGATTTTAAAGCTATGCAATGAAATGAGTGTATCTGGCAAGTGACTATAGATCAAGAAGAGATTTGATGTTGAGAAGAAGAAAGGCCAACCAAAGAGACTGAGAAGAAGCCACCGGTGAGGTAGGGAAAAAACAAAAAATAAAACAAGAATGTGTGATGCTCCAGAAGTCTATGGAGAAGTAAGTACAGCACAGGGCTGAAGGAAATTAGAGGTAATCAAATACCTGTGAGTTCAAATAAAATGATGACTAAGAATTGACCACTGGGTTTAAACCATTGTGGAGGTTGTTGTTGGTTTGACAAAGGTGGTCTTAGTGAATAGAGTGATGAAATCTGGACTGGAATAGAATAAAAGGAATGGATAGTAACAAAGTGAAGGTAGAGATAATAGACAACTCTTTCAATATTTTTTGCAACAGAGAAATGGGCTATAACTGGAGAATGATGTTAAATCAAAGGATTTTTATTTTCAGATAGGAGACATTGAACCATGCTTATATGCTGATATGAGTTTTGATAGGTCAAAAGGAAAGTAAAGGCTATGCAAGTGGCAGGGCTAGCTACGGAGAGAAGAGATGGACGAGAATGAATGCAAAGTGTGTGTGTGTGTGTGTGTGTGTGTGTGTGTGTGTGTGTGTGTGTGTGTGTGTGTGTGATAAAGATGCATGCAGATTGGTAGATCTGGTGATGAGACTATGAAGCATTTTATTCTGGATGTTTCTAGCTTTCACTGAAATAAAAAGAAGTTTCATCAACTAACAGAGAGAAATGAGAAACTTTAGAGATTCGAGGAGTGGAGAAATTGTGTAACATAATCATCTCAGGAAGTGTGAAAGCAATTTTAGTAGGGTAAGTAGTATGAGTCAAAAGGTAGTACCAACGCCCTGGCTGGGTAGCCCAGCTGGCTAGAGTGTCATCCCAATATGCCAAGGTTGTGGGTTCAATCCCTGGTCAGGGCACATACAAGAAGCAACCAATGAATACATAGATAAGTGGAACAACAAATCGATCTTTCTCTCTCTCTTTCTTGTCTTCTCTCTCTCTCTAAAATCAGTTAATAAAAAAATTTAAAAGATAACAAAAGAACATACTGAGGAGCCATTTAAGATACAGTGATATAATTAAAGTGAAACAAGTGGAATTTCCTCTAGGGAGCAAACAGAAAGGTTACTGAGGATATACGCAGGAGGGAAATTATAGCAATGAACCATGGCATCTAAACCAAGTAAGAAGGAAGTGAGGGTTTGAAAATATGGTGAGTTAATGCATTGTCCAGATGAGACCAAAGAAGTTGCTAAAGTAACTGAACTGAAAGACTGGAGCTATTTGAACCTCAGGTAAATGAAACCCTACATAACCCACCCTTACAATTCTCCAAAGGGGCTGGACAATGTTTCTCTAACCATAGGCACACAACTTGAGCCCTGATGAAATAATCTCAGAAGGCTAACTATCCAGTCAGCATGTGATTTTATTTACTTACAATTTCTCAGAAATGCATCTATTGAGAAAAGCAGGGTCCATCAGTACAACAACTTTATCCCTTTTATTTTAAAGTATGTTTAAGTGTTTTAATGCATCAAGCTGAGACGCAGAACATCATTCAAACCAAGCATGCTATTAGAGCATCATCCATAAGTGCTTTTTTGTTTTTCTGCTTATTAGTCTCTTAATAGCAATAAAACATATTACCAAATTTGAAAGCTAATACATTTCCAGAATAATCTGAACAGCAAATAAACAGAATCTTGTAATGCCATCTCAAATACTCTTCAGAAAACTGTTAAGAGGGCAAAAAGTCCATAAAGTAAGGCACACGGGTAGGCAACGAGAAGCTGTTGTCCTTCCATGTCCAAGGCGGAAATGAAGATTTTGGAAGCTGAGAGACTACACCAGACAATGATGACCAGTGCCAACACAGTACCGATCATGCCCCTGTAGCAAAGACAAAAGAGATGGTTACCTTACATAAGGAGAAAGAGGTTACTGAATCAGAGCTGCCTTTGAAATGTCTTTGGTGCAATATTTATAACTACTTTCTCATTTGTAAAATGAGGGTGAGGAACCATATGAACTTAAAGGCCTTGGCCAGCGGGGCGGGACTGGGCGGGACTGGGTGAAATGGCCGGGCATGCCCTGGAGCCAACCTCCCCTGCCACCACAGCTAGAAGAGCTGGGTGAGCAGCAAGGTCCCTCTGGCAGGTGGGGTCACTCGGACAGCCTGTGGGGATCGGGCTGAAACTGGTTCTCCAACATCCCGCAAGGGGTCCCGCCCAGAGTGCGAGAGGGCACTCTGCAAAGTTGCTGTCAAACAGGGTGTGGAATGCAAACGCAAGTGTGTAGTAAACCAGATTCAGGACCGACAGTGCCCTCGGAACAACATAACCCACAGCCAAAGGTGGAATTGCACAGCTCCACAAGGAATCAGGCTCCCTCCTCTCTGGTTTCAAGGTTCATTGCCCGAGAACCACCGCTGCCAAGTCACCACAACTTGGTGGCTCCTGCGTTGAGCATCTGCCCCCTGGTGATCAGTGCACATCATTGGTACCGGCTGGTCAGACAGTCGGGCAGTCACTTAGCTTTTTATATATCTCGATTATATCTAAATAAAAAGATTAAATGCTTTTCTAAAATGTCTATCTTTGGTATTGGTCAGTTCTTTATATAATATCCTATCCAATGTAGGGCTAATAACCTAAAATGTGGATCCTCCAACAAAAAAAAAATACAAATTATTGCCGGGGTTCAACCCCAGCAGGTCCAGGGGTTCCCAAAGGTGTAGACGGAGTCGGCGAAGAAGGAAGGATACGGAGACAGCATTCAGTTGATCAGCAGCCTAGCCAGGATCTCTAACCAGGATCTCCAGCCAAGTTCTGGTCTGGATCTCCAGCAAAGTTCTGTGTCCATGTTCTCTTGCTAGGTTCTCCAGCCAGGTTCTCCAGGTTCTCCAGCCAGGTTCAGTCACCAGGTTCTAGTCAGGTTCTCTTGCCATGTTCTACCCAGGTTCTGTAGCCAGGTTCTGTCTCTAGGTTCTTCAGCCAGGTTCTCTCTCTAGGTTCTGTTGCCAGTTTCTGTCCAGGATCTTTTGCCATGTTCTCTCCAGCGAAGTTCTTCTGTCTCTAGGTTCTGTGTAGGTTCTGTCTTCTAAGTTCTGTCTTGTTACATCTGTATTTATACCAGTTGATTCAATCCTATCAATCTCTATTACAAAGGTTAGGGCGTTTCTTATCTCCATTCCAGGGAGTAAAGATTATGTAGCTTAAGCATGATTGTTCATAGTTAAAGTGATTAATTACCCGCCTGGCACTTAGTTAAGAGGTTTTATTCCCTCCCTAACTTCAGGGGAAAATCCCTACCTGGGGAAACAACCTTTCTCAGAGACCTTGGTTAAAACACATAGTGCCAAGAAGGTGAGCAAACATATTAAGAACAGTATGCCATAGATGCCAGGTCCCTTGAAACAGCAAGCATGGACCGGCTCCCAGCAAATTATGTCTCATTACAATGTGGAATCATGAGCACTGATGGCAAATGTTTATTTCTACTTGGGCTTAGAGCATAACAAGTGACAAAGGACGGTGTAATTACTTGGTCTCCCCAATCAAAGTGGTTGTGACATGCAGCTGTCCCGGGAGAGTGCCTGACAGAAACTTAGCTGCTGCATTCTTACTAATGGTTTTGAATTGCAAATACTAACTGCTCAGGAAGTAATAAAGAAAAAAAATTCTTGACTGAGCACATAAGCCATAAAACTCTCTAGCATTAATATCCTCATCAGGGTTTCTGGGAATTCTGCACCACACGGAGCCCAGCTGAGAGAGAACAGTTGCCTCCCACCTAGAAGACAGACTGCCTGGGAGCTGAGGGCGATTTGTCAGCGGTTCACCAGGCACTTACTCTTCCACAATCAAACAAGTGAATTTTTTAAAGATCTTCCATTACCCATGACAATAGCTCATAGTGAAGAATGTGGCAACTCACAGAGTGCCAGTTTTAAAGATTACTTGGTGTAATCTATTTTTTAAATCACTGCTATAGAAATAGCACCTTAGCCAAAACTGACCTACTTCCCTGAATCTGCCTGTAGCTTTTTTTTTTTTTTTTTGCCTGTAGCTTTTTAAAATATATATTTTTATTGATTTCAGAAAGGAAAGGAGAGGGAAAGATACAAACATCAATAATGAGAGAGAATCATTGGTCAGCTGCCTCCTGCATGCCCCACACTGGGGATCAAGCCTGCAACTGGAGCATGTGCCCTGACCGGGAATGGAACCATGACCTCCTGGTTCATGGGTCAACACTCAACATCTGAGCCAGCATGGCTGGGCGTGCCTGTAGCTTTTAATAGTCATCGAGTCCCCAACTCCACTACCAAAATGCCTGGGAAGAGGTCAGCGTTGCACTGGTGTGGCACGCCTTCGCAGTGACTGTGCAGGTGGGGTCTATCAGTGAGCGAGGACACTTACTGCAGTGAAAAGAAGACGGCGCTGCCGGACAGGATGACCATGGGGAGCAGGCAGTAACCCAGCACACTCGCCACGCAGCCATAGGACACCCCGGAAGAGCTCATCAAGTTTAGTAAGGCGTAAATCCCCAGGCAGCCGATGCCACTCATGCCATATATGTAACCAAACTGAACTTTCCCTGCCTGAAACAGGGAGAAGAAAACAGTTTGAATGAATACACAGAAAGCATCCAGAGAAAAATCAGGGTGTCAATAAATCAGAGAGCATTTTAGAATCAATCAGCTCAGCGCTGTTGCATATCTTTGTAGTGCTTACAATTATCAGGAGACTGGGAGTTCTGGGTAAAACACTGACTATATTATGAATTCAGGTCCTGAAAACAAACACCCCTGACTATACTTGGGATGGCACAAGCATGCTACAGAGAAGGTGAAATATTTTTAGGGTTTTTTTTTTTATCACAGATTGCCTATTAGAGCATAAGTAAGAATATATTTTCTCCCCATATTTGTTAAATAATTAAATAAATGAATCAATTAATGAAAAAAATTCTGATTTAGTCTTGGTTATTTACAAGGCATATTAGTAATATAAGCAAAGACCCATAGGATTTGCTATGTTAGGGCCTATTCTAAGCATTTCTATAACTTATTTAATCTACACGACCATCCTATGAGATAGGTAGCATTATTTTATCAATTTTACACAGGAAATTGGGGGGCAGAAAGTTTAAGTAACTCCCCAAAATAAAATAATGCTAATTGGTTGAAGTTGGCTTTGATCCCAGGTAGTCTGGCTCTAAAATTTAGGTTCTTAACTACAGGAGCTTTAATACTGGAACTTATTTAACCTTTTATTACCCAGCATATGCCAAACTTACCATAGAAAATTTTGTTTTCATAATGCCTAGTGCCAGTTTAACCGAACATACTTGATGAAAAGTTGATTTGTATAAACTACTCATAAAAGAGGTATTGTTAAGGGAATTCAATGGTGTTCAGGATATACCACTGAGCTTCTGAGGACTTATAAAAATAGCCGCCACTCACAAAGCACTAGGGTCTATCTCCATTAACTCATCTGGGGTAAGTACAATCTACTGTTAGTTGAACAGAGGGTATTTTAATGTTGGCTACCTGAGGATGCCAACGCTCCAGTCGAGAATGATTTTAGTTTTTACATTTACATTAAACTGACTAGAAATTCGAGATAAAGGTTGGATCAATTGACTTTGGTTCTCATGGGAATTATTAAAAAACAACAAAGGTCTGGTAAGTTGATTCAGAAGTTTTTCAGCTGTCTTTTTTTTTTTTTCTTCTCCATAGCTGTTATTTGTGAAGTCCTTATGTCTTACAGAACAAAGAAACATTTATTAATGAAGGATATTGGAGAATGTTATGACCATTTTAATGATCAAAATTTTCCAGCTATTTTCAACTCTTCTTCTTCTGTAGTTATGGAGGCTGGTCACTAAGCTCTTTCACAAAAATGTCCCTGGGTTACACTGGCAGAATTCTCTCTTGCATTAGCCAGAGTAAGTTCTCATTGAATATCTTTTGTATTCTTTTGGAATTCTTTTGTATTATTTTGTGAAATAATGTTATGGATGCTAATGGGCATGCTAAAAAACACACACATCATTTATGCACTGCACCACTGGGTGTGTTTGCTCAACTTGGAAAATAGTGACACTTTCAAATCACTATTTAATATTTTATTTAATATTTTAACTGAATGTGATAATTCTGAGGTAATGATAGAGGTAATGATAGCTGTAATGGTGAAAAGCAACTTCTCTATACCCAAAGGACACATAGTCTGAATTTCCTGGGCCCAAGAAGTTTTGTGATTAGGGTGGGGAAAATAAATGATAAATTAAACTAATTTGGTAGCAAAATTGTCCCTTTCCATATCAGTTATTGACATTTCTTTTCATCTTGCTCTCTTGTTATTTTATTCAATTTAAAGTACAATTCCACTTGGCAGGGGCCACTGCCATTTTTTAATTTGTTTTGAATTGTAACAAGGGCTTGTGGTTGAAATGGAAAATAAATGTTCCTTTTTTTCTTTTTCTTTCTTTCTATTTTTTAAATTACCTACAGAGAACAGATCCCAGATCCTTTGTTACCAGAGAGCAGAGAAGAAGAGGGTTAGGAGTGGACTAAAGGGGTAAAAGGTGTTAATTGTATGTTGATCGATAGTAACCAACCTTTAGGGGGAGATCACTTTGTAGTGTATACAGATGCCAAATTATAATGTCATACTCATGAAGTATTTATAATTTAAAAAAAGAAAAGAAAAAGAGTTCCATTTCTTTTTAACCTCAAAATTTTCAGGATCCTTCCTGCACTACCATCTTCATACTAAATCTGTATTTGAAATACTTATTCATGTGATTGTCCTATATAATAAAAGGGTAATATGCAAATTGACTGAATGGCAGAACGACGGGTTGGTATGAAACGCACTGAGCAGGCAGGCAGGCAGGTGAGCGATTAGGGGCGATCAGGCAGGCAGGTGAGCAGTTAGGGGCAATCAGGCAGGCAGACAGGCAAGCAGTTAGGGGCAATCAGGCAGGCAGAGTGATTAGGGGCCAGCAGTTAGGAGTGAGCAGTCAGGCGAGCAATTAGGAGCGGTCTTGGATTGTGAGAGGGATGTCCAACTGCCAGTTTAGGCCCAATCCCAGGGATATCCCCTGAGGGGTCTGGGATTGCAAGAATGCACAGGCCGGGCAAATTTTGTGCACCAGGCCTCTAGTACTGTTATATTGACCATGCATATTCTTTTTCAGATCACACTCTTAGATCTATCAAAAAAAAACAAAAACCCATAGCTTTAAATCACTCATGTTTATTGTGTTGGGGGGGAAAATAGTTTTGAGAGAAATAACAAGTAAAACTAAATTTGTGTTGTGTTTGAAGCTGTTCTTTTTAGTTTGCCTCCTTCAGCATGAAGAAAGTCCACTAAAAGGTATTGTGCCTTATATCAACATAAATCAGAAAAATGATGAGTATGTGACTGTGAATCTTATACCTCCAGGGACAATGAATAGATTTGGATATTGGTTCTGGATTTACTTTTGCTTTTTCTGGTACATATATATATATATAGCAGCCCATAAAATCATCTTTTACATCTTTATTGATTTTTTTTTTTTTTTTGAGAGAGAGAGAGAGAGAGAGAGAGAGAGAGAGAGAGAGAGATACCAATTTGTTGTTCCACTTATTTATGCACTCATTGGTTGCTTCTTGTATGTGCCCTGACCAGGGATCAAACCCACAACCTTGGCGTATCAGGACAATGCCATTCTAACCAACTGAGCTACCAGGCAAAGGCTCATCCTTTACATTTTAATTGGATATATCCAGAGTCAGGTTAACTTAGCTTCAAATGAATTCTGAGTTAAATCTGACTTCACTAATATCCACTTTGTTTGTTTTGTCCTTATTGCTCTACATGTGTCAGAATCAATTCCTAAGTAACCACATTCTAATGTTAAAATTGAAATGATAATGTTCTCCTAAAAAGTTTCAGAAAATATCCATTTTCAAATATTCCCTAACATTTCAGAACTGAACAGAACTTAAGTACCACTTTTAATAAATCTTCTTTTGTCCTCAAAATGAAAAAATAAAGTTCAAGAAACAGGAAACAAAAGATTCAAGATCACACCTAGAGGAAAAGTTCGGGGTAGATTCAATTTTCTTACTTCCAATTGATTTCTTTGTCTATATAGCTTTGTACTATTTAAGAAAAAAGAGAGTATACTCAAATAACTCCAAATAACATTGTACACCCTAAAAAGATCTTAATGGAATTAATAATTTCCTTTAAAAGATGGTGCTGGTAGCATTTCTACAGAGAAACAACAACACACAGCTGTTATATTACTTGAAAAAAGAAAGATGAGTTAATATATTAAATTGATTGTTTCTGACTACTTGATTAATTGACACGGTCTTACTTAGCAGCATTTAATCTAAGATTATCAAATTACTGTGACAGAGACAGAAGGGAGGTTAGAGACTAAATTAAAACTCCAGTTGATATAGTATTTGATTTATAGAGTATTTGTATTTGCTGAGGTTCAAAGGAAGAAATAGATGCTATCACTAAATACTATTGTACTAGATAAATAAACTATGATAACTGATCACATTATTATGCAGAAACTAGACTTCTATCAGTGTTTTGATACTGGTATTAAGTAGTTAATAAATTAAAAGTAAAAATTTATTTAATTGCAAATAACACTTTACAGCTACTTTTAAAAATTGTAACTACAGTGCAGAAAAACAATTATGGGAAGTAGCTGTAAGAAAGGAAAGTAAACAAGGCCTAGAATTTTTAATTTCCTGTATTATTTCTCCTGCAAAGTTTATCACTTTATGCTTTAATAAAGCCATATTTTTTCAGGCTAACTTGACCATATTTTTCATCCTGTGTTGTGTTTTTTATTACTACCCACCTGAGCATATGATTATTGATTTGAAAGAAAGAGAGAAAGGGAAACACTGATGTGAGGGTAACATCGATCAGTTATCTCCTGCACATACCCTGACCCGGAGGACGCTCCAACCAACTGAGCCACCCACCTGCGGCCATCCTCTGTTTTTAATGTATTATCATTCTCTTTTTGGTATAAAATAATAAACCTTTTCTAAGGTTTTCTTTTTTTAAAAAATGAAACATGTTTTCCAAATGATAGGCTAGAATGCTATCTAAACTTAACTTAGGTGGAAATATGTGACTTAAAATTTTTTTTGGCCTATTTTGATATTATTACTCCCAGATATAAAGAATGAAAGAGGCACATACACAAGGGAAATGGTGAAAGTCAGGGGGGAAAATGTCATCATAAAAAGCATAAAACTGCCCTTATCGGTTTGGCTCAGTGGATAGAGCATCAGCCTCCAGACTGAAGGGTCCTGGGTGTGATTCCAGTCAAGGGCACATGCCTGGGCTGATCCCTAGTAGGAGCCGTGCAGGAGGCAGCCAATCAATGATTCTCTCTCATCATTGATGTTTCTATCTCTCTCTCCCTCTCCCTTCCTCTCTGAAATAAAAATATTGATTTCAGAGAGGAAGACTCATCTCAGACTTCATAGAAATACTAGAAATACCATAGAGATACAACCCAACCAAGAAAATGATGAACAAAGACAAAGGATTTGTCCCGTGTCACAATAAAAATTTCACAAAAAAGCAAGAAATAAAATTTAAGCCTTATATTTCCCAAGTTCATGTGCTCCTTCAACTATTCCAGATTGACATTTTTTTTCTTAATAACAATAAAGACCTAAATGATTAGCTGTTTTATAAAAAATATAGATTTGGTGATTTTTATCTTTAAAATTTTATTTAAATTTCTATTTTTTTTTATCGGTTGTAATGCATGATGGCAGTTTCTATTTTGTCACTATAGTTCTATGAAACATGTTTCTATCTCACCCCCAAAAAATGTAGCCACAAATTAAACAATTTTCCCTGTATAAAGTGACATACTGCCTTCTGTGTTTCCAAAGCACTCTGCAAAAATCGCATTGGAAAGGACACACGTTTAAATCTGGTGCTGCTGTCCTTTACCAGAAGCAGGGTGGCTCCCAGCGCCACACAGAACAGGATGGGCCCAGCCAGGTCGGTTTCATTCATAATGCTGCCATCTGCTGGCTTCAGTGGGTTTAACACTGTCAAGGTTTTTTGCCATATGTGATCAAAATTAATTCCAAGTTCTGCAAAAAAAAAAAGTGGGGGGGAAGGTAATATAAATATATAAAAGTATTTATATTAGAAATATAAACCTCAGAATATAGAACATCAAATATAAACATCAAATATTAGAAAAATAAACATCAGTAATATTCTTTTATTAAAGTTACTATATTTGATTCACTTGCTTAGAATTTTAATCTGATTGTTGTAACTTCGTAATCTAAAACTCCAAGTAAAAATTTAAAGCATAAATAAATAAAATTATATTTTTATTTGCAAACAATAAGCTAAGAGAAATATTGTAGACAATTTTCTTCCATAAGAAAAAGTATCCCTGAGTAGCCAATACAAGCTTAAAATCTAGATGAAAATTGAGAAATGAACATTCTACAGTAAAAACTAAAATGTAGCGGTAGACCCAGAGTCCCATCCTATTGCCCATTTAGACATATCCTTTCCTTGCAATTTCCATTGCTAACACTTTGGAAATATCAAACATAGTATAATTTTTCCCTAGAAGAACTATTTAAACTAGAGATATTTGTCCCAGGTCTGGGACGTCCTCTGAGAGGAGAATGCTGCCTGCCTGAAATGCCACAGAGAAGAAAGGGGATGGCCTTTTCGGCAAGTAAACGGAATCATGATGTGCACGCATATTTTTACACGCTAAATGCTCTGTGCAGTTGAGTCTGTGTAGAGATTAAATTCTTTTTTAAAATGTGTTTTTATTGACTTCAGAGAGGAAGGGAGAAGGAAAGAGAGAGATAGAAACATCAGTGATGAGAGAGAATCATTGATCGGCTGCCTCCTGCACACCCCCTACTGGGGATGGAACCCGCATCCTGGGCATGTGCCCTTGACGGGAATCGAACCTGGGACTCTTCAGTCTGCAGGCCAATGTTCTATCCACTGAGCCAAACCAGCTAGGGCGAGATTAAATTCTTGAGACAAGTTAACTGTTCCCTTTTGTGAGTGGTGGAATAAAATATCCTGCCATTTGCAATAACATGGATAGAACTTGAGGGCATTATGTGAGGTGAAACAAGTCAAGAAAGACAAATACTGCATGATATCAATTATATGTTGAATCTAAAATTTATTTTAAAAAATAGTCAAACTTATAGAAACAGAGTAGAAAAGTGGTTGCCAGAGGCTGTGGGACAGGTAGGAAGTGGTTGGTATAAGGGTACAACCCATCCCACAAAAATAAACAACCACAGAATCCATGCTTTTTATCAAATCAATGGCATTCAATATGATAATGGTTGTATTTTTTTTAATTGAGCACAATTCTCCCATGTGAAGGATCATCTCCCTAAATCATTTGTATGTGGCATTCAACTTCCCTTCCTAGAATTTAGTAACTCTCTTTGACCAAAGATATAGAGTATACAGAGTATACATAGTTCAACTTTTGCAGTGGCTCATACCACCTGAACACCTTGCAAAGCTGACATTTCTATACAGAGAAGGCCAGGTGGGCTTTAATAATGGCCATGACCCAAAGAAGCCTTGCTTTAACAGGGACCTTGACATTTTTCAGACAGTCAGGTAGCAGTTGGTATGAACTAGGATGGAAAGCATATCTCTCACTCATTTCACATTCAGATTGATGACTACTATCCCGAGCTTGAAAATAAAAAAAAAATCTGGTTGGTTAAAGTAATTGTGGGCAAATAATCTACATTATAACATTTATGCTGCATTCTTTTTATTTTCACAGTGGATTTATTATTTCTTTTTTTAAAAATATATTTTATTGATTTTTTACAGAGAGGAAGGGAGAGAGATAGAGAGTTAGAAACATCGATGAGAGAGAAACATCGATCAGCCGCCTCCTGCACATCTCCTACTGGGGATGTGCCGGCAACCCAGGTACATGCCCTTGACCGGAATCGAACCTGGGACCTTTCAGTCAGCAGGCTGACGCTCTATCCACTGAGCCAAACCGGTTTTGGCTATTATTTCTTAATGAACATACACTTTGGAGAATATAAGCAGTTGTCCAAGCTTAAAATGAGGTTAGAATATCGATTTTCAACCAGTGTGCCGCAATAATTTTTAAAATAGGCAATACCTGATTATTTTGTCAGAGCACTGACCTCTTTTCCCTTAAATTGTCAAATAAAAAATTTCAAAAGCCAACACAACAATAGTTGTCTGGTGTGAATGAATTAAAATCATGCCTATTTTTTGTCATATCTGCAGAATATTATATTATTTATATTATATTATATTATATTAATTATATTATATATAGTTTTGGTGTGCCACAGAATTTTAGTAATTAGTGTGCCATAAGATAAAAAAGAAAAGGTTGAAAACTGCTGGGTCAGAATGTCTAATGTAATTTTTAAAAGAGAATGCTTTAAAAAATTGAGAAATACAGTAGGTGAATTAATTTCACCTAAAATTTATGTTGCTTTCAAACTTCATTTTCAATTTAGACATTTATGCTAACAATGTTTTCAGTGTTTGCCAAAATAAAGTGGCCTTTAATTAAACACATCTTTTTTTCTGAAAATGCATAATAATTATTCCCAAAGAAAATCAAAGCCTCATGAGACATAATTACTGATTTCAATCATTTATTTAATGGAATAATTAACTTCTATATATGTTTCAACATTGAGTCATAAAACAGTAAATGAACCTAAGACAAACTAAATATTTTCATAAGAAAAAAGATTTTATGTATTTTCTACCAAAATACATTGCCAAAATACAGGGTGTGACAAAAGTAGATTTACAGTTGTGAGTACATGAAACATGAAACATAAAACATGTTTCATGTTATTGTTATTTATTAATTACTAGAGGCCCGGTGCACAAAAATTTGTGCACTCGGGGGGAAGGAGGGGTCCCTCAGCCCGGCCTGTGCCCTCTTGAAGTCTGGGAGATAACGCCCTGCTGGCTTAGGCCTGCTCCCAGGTGGCAGAGGGCAGGCCCAATCCCTAGGTGCAGCCCCTGGTCAGGCTCAGAGCAGGGCTGATTGGGGAGTTGGGGCGCAGCCCCTTGTCATGCACAGAGCAGGGCTGATTGGGGAGTTGGGGCGCCGCCCCTGTCATGCACAGAGCAGGGCGGATTGGGAGGTTACGATGCCACCCTCAGTCACGCTCAGGGTAGGGCTGATTGGGGGGTTGGGGCACTGCCCCCTGTCACACTCAAGGCAGGGTTGATGGGCAGGTTGCGGCGCCACCCCCTGTCATGCACAGAGCAGGGTCGATCAGGGGGTTGGGGAGCTCCCCCCTGTCACGCACAGAGCAGGGCGGATCAGGGGGTTGGGGCGCCACACCCTGTCACACTCAGGGCAGGGCTGATGGGGAGGTTATGGCTCTACCCCTTCACACACAGAGCAGGAACCATGGGGGGGGGGGGCGCATCTTGTCACACACAGAGCAGGGCCCATGGGGGGGTTGGGGGGCCACAGCCTGTCACACACAGAACCGCAGGGCAATCAGGGGGTTGGGGAGCTCCCCCCTATCAGGCACAGAGCAGGGATGATCAGGGGGTTGGGGCGCTTTCCCCTGTCACGAACAGAGCAGGGCGGATAGGGAGGTTGTGGCCCCGCCCCCTGTCACACACAGAGCCGCAGGGCGATCAGGGGGTTTGGGCGCTGCTCCCTGTCACGCTCATCCTGGTGCTGGGAGGCCTCATGGCTCTGCTGATCCCGGTGCTGGGAGGCATATTACCCTTTTACTATATAGGATAGAGGCCTGGTGCACGGGTGGGTGCCAGCTGGTTTGCCCTGAAGGGTGTCCTGGATCAGGGTGGGGGTGCCCACTGGGGTACCTGGCCAGCCTGGATGAGGGGATGATGGCTGTTTGCAGCTGGTCACACACCCTTCAGGGTGGGGGTCCCCACTGGGGTGCCTGGCCAGTCTGGGTGAGGGGCTGAGGGCTGTTTTCAGGCTGGAGGGTGACTGAAGCTCCCAACTGCTCCTTTTTTCTTTTTTTTTTAATTCTGGGCCAGCTTTAGCTTGAGGCTTGGCTCCAGCTCTTAGGCCTCCGCTGCTGAAAGCAGGTTTCTGGCCTTTGTTTACCTTCTGTATTTGAAACAATGTTGCGATCCTGCTGGCTGAAGCTCAGCGACTAAAACAGGTTTCTGGGGTTTTGTTTAGCTTCTATATTTGTAACATAGTTGCTTAGAGTTGCAGCTCAGAGGCTGGGCAGGGAACATTGGAGTCCTCCATCACTGAAGCAAGCAAGCCTCATGTTTGCTTCCAGCTGCCTTGCTGCCGGCCGCCATCTTGGCTGGCAGTTAATTTGTATATCGCCCTGATTAGCCAATGGGAAGGATAGCGGTCGTACGCTAATTACCATGTTTCTCTTTTATTAGATAGGATGGTATTTTTTCCATACAAACAACTGTAAATCTATTTTTGCCCCACCTTATATTTTGCTTTCAAATGTATTACAAAGTATGCAAATGAGATTATAAGTATTATTAATTGTAGATAATCTAATATTACACCTTATACAAAATAAGGTAGAAAAATTGCTGTGAAATTTTAATGCAAAATTATTGTTTTACTGTCATCTAGTGGTAGTAAAGTATAAGTGCTATAAAAATGAACTAATATATTTATTTTTTATGCAAATTGTGTCATTGGCCTTTGAAACACAAACATTAGACTATTTTGCAAATACCAAATGCCACAGTAATTTTTCTGGTCTGATATACTTAAATTGACTATTAGCCTTCAAGGTGTATTTGTTAACATATTGATTGTATATTACCAAATAGCCAAAGTTGTCATTCTTACACAAAACCAAACAAGCCTTTTAGACAACAAAGCACGTAAGCTATAAACAAGCACAGTTTCAAATAACATGTTTTTGTGCAGGGGATATTTTATTATAGATTCATAATTTTATAGGTTGTCTTAATGTACACTCTAAAAAAGCTGACAAATGTCATTCATCACCTTATCATAGAAATTGTGCCTAAGGCCTTTTCATATCTTTTATAGATGAAGCTTGAGACTTTCACAAAGTCACTCAACATGAAGAACATATTAGAGCAATGCTTAGAAATTCCCTAGATTCAAAATGAAAAATTATAATAAGTGCTCTTTCTTATAACATACTATACATTTGATGGGGGTAATCACAAAGAGAAAAAATAATCAAGAAATTTTTTCTGATCTGTGTAAAGTGGGAAGGGACGCAGTTTCATTAAGTGGGGTGGGGAGGGTGGTTACTCTGATATAACCACTTTTCGAAATGATGTCTTCACTGTTGTGTAGACATTGCCAGGGAGTTCAAATTTAAGAAACAGTGAAGGCACCTGTGATAACTGCAGCAATAGCACATACCTCCTTCCGATTCCCCCCACACAAACATGCGGCAGACTTCCACTGGGTTAAGTGTCTTGAAGAGGCAGATTTGTTTACACGTGGAACAGTCACACACAAAACACTGTATGCATCATGCTGACAGCACACGTACGTGCTCATTATTGCTATTATTCTCGAGCTGTACACACATTAACAGCACTTCCTTAACTTATCTTCTAGCAAAGGAGGCTCTTCATCAAAACTGTCAGCGTAAGGAGACTGTGAATAATAATCCGGGTTGGATGCTGGCTGAAAATATTGTCCAGTGTAACCTGATGACATGAGCATCTCCGGTGGGACAAAGGCAAGCTGAGGCTGCTCACTGGCTTGCTGTCTAGAGAAAGGAAAACACTGGTATTTATGCATCTAAGAAAGGGATATCATGACAAATCAAGGAAATGAAGGAAACTACAATTTCTCTTTCATGAATTATCCCAGGTTTTATGAATATTTAAGCATGAAAGAAATAACTTGCTTAGAGTTGAACTTCAATCAAAAAAAGTGAAGTCACTGGTCATGAAAAGGCTTCTAGGAGACTGATCCATACCAACTAATATTGATTGATTATGTACAACATGCTGTCACTTTTTCTCACATTTTCCCATGTAATTAGACTTAGTAAGGTGAAATCTGTCATTTTAGTCCCATTTTGCAGAAAGAGAAATAGAGGTTCCTGGAGACTGAATGACTTGCCCAGAATCACAGAACGCAGCAGGTGTCTGTCTCTGAACTGACGCTGGCTGAGCACTCTGCCTCTTTCACTGATATTCATGGCAATCACCAAACATGAACGTCTTTATAAATGTGTGGAGGCAGCAAGTGTAAATCACAATTTTAACAGTATAGCCAATTCATAGGAAAAAAAACAAATGTATAAACTGACTGCTGTCCATAAAGAAATAGACTTTCTAGCTCTGGCCATTCCCAGACAATTATTGCCAATCAAATGACCTGTGAGCACCTAACTAAAAGTATTCAGTAGCGTCCCTCTTTTGAAGTATGCAATTTAGTTTGTCCAAAGATGTTTCTTGTCAAACATGACACTTCCTTGACCATGCTTTTGCTTGTTTTTTTTATTTCATCATTTGTGTCAGGAAGCTGGAAAACAACAATCTTAGTAAATAATTTTTTGTGAAAGCTAGAAAAAGGAAGAAAGAGTGTGTGACATTATTTGGTGATTTTTAATTGTGGGGTTTTTTTTTTGAAGGGAGGGGAAGAAATATAAATTGTCCTTATTAACATGTGTTAAGTTTATCTGATCATAATATCATAGGCTACACTAAGCTAAAAATACAGCCCAGGATTCTACACTTTGTAGCTCTCTGGGATCTCTTTATGTTAAAATACTTACAAAATGGCTTTTTATACTTTCCTTCCAACATTCATCTTAATATGAAGTCTAAGAATAACATACTCATCCTCCCTTATATGAGTAAGCCTGAAAGAGAAGATAACCTCTTTTGAAAAAGAAAGCTATAAAATAGAAAAATATATACATTTAATCATTCACTAACTCACCACAAGCTCATTAAGGGCAGGGACCTGGTATAATACTTCTTGAATCACCCACAGCAACAATTTTCAACTGGCTGCTGTGCTGCAAGAATTTTTTAAAAATGCAATACCTGACTGTGTAGTCAGGGGCACTAACCTTTTTTCCCCTTATACTGTCAAATTTAAAAAATGACAACAGCCAACACAATAGCCATCTGGTGTGAATGAGTCAAAATTATACCTTTTTTTTTTTCTCAGATCGGCAAAACATATATGTTTGTGTGCTGCAGAACTTTAGCAATTAGATTATGTGTGACAGAGATAAAAGGGTTGAAAATCGCTGTTCCAAACCATATGCTGATTACTGTTATTGTTCCTGTAATCATGTGGCATATTTCTAATCTTTCTTTTAAAAAAAAGAAAATATTTGTATTGATTTCAAAGAGGGAGGAAGAGAGAGACAGAGACAGAGAGAGAGAGAGAGAGAGAGACATCAATGATGAGAATCATTGATTTGAATCATTGACTGGCTGCCCCCTGCATGCCTCCTCCATGTGTCCTGACTGGGAACCGAATCATGACCTCCTGGCTCATAGGTCAATGCTCAATCACTGAGCCACGCTGACTAGGCTCTAATCTTTCTTGTTAAACAAAGTAGGCCCACTATCAAAAGTGCTGGTAGAAATGGATTATATATACGAAACTGAATGGCTTTTGGTTGATAAAGCTTTCCCTAGATACGTATTTTTTTTTTTAAATGTAACCAGTTCTAGAAGAATAAAAGGGGCAAATAGAGATGATTGAATGGACTAGTGTCTAAAGACTATTTCATTGACATATTGTCCTGGCCTCACCAAAACTCATGCCCAGGTGCTAATAACCAGAAAGAGAACAGTTAAGGAAACATAACTTCCACAATTACTCCGGGCAAAGCAATCTCTATGAATGAGGGGATTCAGTGTTGGACACACCCCCACCCCTGACAAGAGCAAAACACATTTTTATAGGGGAAAAAAATTGTCCAGTACCAGCCAGGTCCTCTCCTTTTCTTTTTCCTCTCTCTATTCCTCTCTGCTACTTCATCCAACAAAACATGTTCAACAGGAGCTTAGCCTCTATTGGCCTTGTTATAATGGAGGGATAATATTAAAATCCCTCCACCATTATTTAGAAAATAAAATTTTTCAATTTTTCCTATAAAAGGAACCTCAAAATTCTTTATCTTTAAAAATTACCATGATCATTTTCTAAATTAAGGTTTCTCTTTTTATCTTATAACTTTGACTATAGCAATTAATACCATATCTCCGTGAAGAAAACCTAAGCAGTACCAAAATAATCACATTATTAATCCACACTCCAACCCAGAAAAACCCTGCAAATACCCAATTCTCTTGTTTTAGGCCTTTCACTGACAAATGACTCTGAACCATAATTTTAACCATACATCTTGAATCAACACTTAATCCCATGTCTTCTAGTGTTATCCTTTTTTACTAGGTGGTTCCAATTTTGAATGACTATGCCAATGACATTCTCTTATATTTTCAGTGATGTCTTTCAAGCCTACAGTATCCTTCTATAAAAAAAAAAATCAGGACGAATGGACTGGACGCTACTAATTGCTCTGTGAAGTCTATGAATTAGTAGCCTATTAAAGGCAATTGCATGAGTCAGATTGATATACCCACCACTTCAAGCAACTGTGAAGTGATTACAAAATTCTTCTTTAGAACTGGCAACATTCTTGGTCAGATTTCCCTTCTTTTGCTTCCTGACTCTGTGGAGTTACATTTCTGCCTGTAATGAGAGTCCAACGGTAGATTTGTCCTGAGCCAAGTAGAGTAGTTAGCCAATTCAGCCACTGAAGTCAGTCTGCTGGGTTCAAATCCCAATTTTATAATCTACTGGAGGTCGGGATGAAACCAGCTCTCCGACATTCCTCGAGGGGTCCCAGATTGCAAGAGGGCTCAGGCCAGGCCGAGGGACCCCACTGGTGCACGATTGGGACTTGGGAGGGACGTGAGAGGTTGGCCAGCTGGGAGGGACTATGGGAGGGTTCCAGGATGTGTCCAGCACATCTCGCTCAATCCCAATCGGCCAAACCCCAGTAGCAAGCTAACCTATTGGTTGAAGCGTCTGCCCCCTGGTGGTCAGTGCATGTCATAGTGACCGGTCGACTGGTCGACTGGTCAACTGTCTGACCGCTGGTGGTCAGGACATCATAGCAGCCTTAACATATCATTAGCCATATTATGCTTTGATTGGTTGTACAGATGACCGGACACTTAGCACATTAGGCTTTTATTATATAGGATGCAAATTACCTCACATTCTGTGCCTCAGTCTCTCATCTGTAAAATGAGGATAAGATAACTCACAGTTGTGGCGAATTAAATTAGCAAAAATAAGTAAAGCACTTAGAATGGTGTTGGGCACACAAAACGTGATCAATAAGCATTAGCTAAGTATTTGTCTGCTCTTTTTTTCCTGATACTTACACTAAAGAATTCTAAACATCTTTCACGCACCCTGGCAGCGCATCTGTATCTGTAATAGTTACCTTTCCAGTTAGTCACTTTCTCAAAGAAAACAATGCGATTAGGAGGCTAAGAGTTTGAATCTCTTCTGTGATGATCACCTTTAGCTTTTTCCCATGTTGGTTTCCCTGGAATATCTAAAGTGACTTGGACAACATCCCAGCCATTCCGTGTTTTCCTTCCAGAAGAACCTCCACTCTACTCATGTCAGGATTTCTGTGTCTGAGTCATAAAGCAATGACCACACACCTGATCTACATAAAAAACCTGGGTACGCACACCAATTCGTCAATATTCCCCCTTTCATTCCCCATACCATAATGTTTCGACGAACCTCCAGAGGCTGGTCTTCACTTACGTAATGCTGTGTTAAGATAAGGCACAGTCTCTTGCTGGGGGAAGTTTTTGACTTCTTTCTGAATCAACAAGACTCAATATTCATCGTCTGATGCAAGTATAGAAGGTCATCGTTCGAAGACTCAGTTATGATTTCTGTGGTTGCAGACTGGTTTATTGCACTCAGTTCCCTGCGCCCCATCATGAAATCACTAACTACATATTTTATTGGAGGCTTTGTTTTCTAAAACTATAGGTCTGGACTTCCATCATGAAGCTTTTCACTGAGCTGCTTTCCTTTGTCAGTCCGTTCCTGGGGAGATATAGGTGGTGCGCTCACTCCCAGGGTCAGATGGAGAGTCAGAGTGTAATCAGATGGTAAAAAATGTACCATCAAATAAGTCCCATTCATTGTAAGTCTATCTCCACACTTAGAATCACATTCGGTGTATGTGTATTTCACCTGAGGCGACAAAGGTTTCAGAATTTGCAATACCACCAACAGCGTGAGACAACAATATGACATATCTACACTGTTGGCTAAAAGAATGTAGTCAGAACCTCCAGGAACATTTTATCTATGTAAGTCTCCCATTGAGCCAGGCAAATCAGGCATATAGGATCAGTTCGAGGGTAGAGTGGTTTAGGAAAGTGTAGCTAGGGTAGTTAGCCTATGTAACATTCCCAAATCCTGGCTAGTCCAGCGAGCGCACAGTAGCCATGTGCCACTGACATGCCGTTAGCTATGTTTAAACACCAGAGAATGATCAGACCTGGGGGTTCCAATGAAATGATGACTCAGTACTGGTCTGTTAATGTCCTACCAAATATGCTGTCCACATTCAAAGGGAGTTTTCCAGTTGTCACCTTTCTGCAGAAATATCTATTTCTTTCTCTTAATAATTTGAACAGTTTTCCCATTTCAAAAACTGGATACATAGAGTGGGAAAATATAGCCTAGCAGTGATTGGAAATGATGCCTACCCAAAGGACTGGACAGAAATTTTAAAATGAGAACGCTCCTTCTTGTTCATTCTAAAATAAGAGAAGTTGTTTTGAAATACAAATATCTTCATTGTTTTAGTAAGTACACTCAACCAGCTTTCAATTAACATGCCATTGAGCTGAACAAGCCTTTTAAAGGAAGCTCCCATTTACTGGGGAGGAGGGATTGGGAGAGGACAGAGACAGAGTGATAGATTGATTATAACATTGTAACTACCCTCTGGATTCCTATATCTTTTGCCAGGATAATCAACATATTATTTTGACTTGGGGAGTATTTTAATTGAACTATTCACTGAATGAATAAAAGGTCAAATCTCTGGAGTTTGTTTGATGTGCACTAGTAATTCGCTGGCCCGTGTCCATGTTTTATGTACCCATAAAACTACCACAGCTAGAATGGCCTTTTCTAATTCCTGAGACATGCAGTGTGGGTTAGAATTTAAATGTTACCGCCTCCAAATAAGGACTTGGGTTTAAATGCTAATAAGCAGGCAAGGCCATCAACCTGATATAATATAATCAAGAGTTTTCCTCATTTGGTTATATTAACTTCCATCTCTTGGTCATCTTGATTTCTGGGCAACAGTGATATGTAAAATCAAACGGAGAAAGAAACTGGGCTGGGTGAGGTGTGGGAGAAAGCTGTGCTCATGAGTCCCTGCTTAAAGGGGAAAGCTTTACCGCCCCCCTATTAGACATTGCAGGATAGTTTAGCCTGAAAATATACATTGCAGGTGCTCCCCAGGTGCTTAGCCCAAACGGAGCAGAGAAGGGAGAAAAGAAACAGAAATTCAAGGTGACTGGTTCCTTTCAATAAAACAACAGGACAGAGCTGAAAATTTTTAGATATCTGTGTGGATTATATATTTTGAGTTACTATCCTGTAATACCTCAATGCTCAAACTGCTCTGCCTGAAACACATTTTTATTTTTATTTTTCTTGACCTTCCAAGGTATAAATCCAAGGAACAATATGAAGTTATTTTTCTGTTGTTGGATTCTACGGTGACTGAGCCAATCCGGCATGACCTTGTCCTTTTCACTCATTTTTTTTAACCCTCACCTGAGGATATGTTTTCATTGGTTTTTAGAGAAAGGAAGGGAGGGATGGAGGAAGGGAAAGAGAGAGAGAGTCATAGAGAGAGAGAGAGAAGAGAGAGAGAGAAGAGAGAGAGAGAGAGAGAGAGAGAGAGAGAGAGAGAGAGAGAGAAATATTGATGTGAGAGAGAAACATCGGTCAGTTTCTGGTGCACACCCCGACCAAGAATAGAACCTGCAACCTTTTAGTGTACAGGAGATGCTCCAACCAACTAAATCACCTGACCAGGGCTTCACCCATCTATATACAGAAAAGCCTAAGTCTCTATGACACGCACTGACCACCAGGGGGCAGATGCTTAATGCAGGAGCTGCCCCCTGGTGGTCAGTGCGCTCCCACAGTAGGAGTGCTGCTCAGCTGACAGGCGCCAGATGCAAGCCTCTCCTGATCGGGACTGAATGGGCAGAAGCCTACAGCAGGCGCAGCGGGGCCGGGCCGGGATGAGCGGGAGCAGCAGGCAGGAGTGGCAGGTGGCATTGGACTGCCAGTTTCGGCCCAATTCCCACAGGTCATGCCGAGGGACCGCACCAGTGCATGAATCCGTGCACCAGTCCTCTAATAATTGCATAAGTGAATAACATTTTTAAAAATATATATATTTTATTGATTTTTTACAGAGAGGAAGGGAGAAGGAGAGTTAGAAACATCGATGAGAGAGAAACATCAATCAGCTGCCTCCTGCACACCTCCCACTGGGGATGTGCCCACAACCAAGACACATACCCCTGACCAGAATCGAACCTGGGACCCCTCAGTCCGCAGACCGATGCTCTATCCACTGAGCCAAACCAGTCAGGGCAGTAAATAACATTTTTATAGTGGTTTTACTTAAATGTCTACTTTCCTACACATTATCACAAATATTCTTCATGATAATTCCATGAAGTGGGTATTATTAATGTCCTCTTATTAATGTCCTCATTTCTCAGTTAAGACACCAATCAGGGAAGTCAAGTCTTTCCCAAGGTCACAAAGAACAAATGCAAGAGCCAGAACTTGAAGCAAATTCTTCTCACTCTAAATCCTCATTTTGGGCACTGGTAAAGGATAAATACTAAATTTTTAATCACTTTTATTTATTTCAACTCAAGTTGAACTGTCAACTCAAATTACTAACACATTCTGAAATATGTTTATCTTGGTTCCGTTTAGGAATTTTCACACTGTGTTATAACAGCATATTACAACAGCACCTCCACAACTTCAATTCTTAAATGTTGTGAGGTAAGAGATTATGAATTTCTCTTTTATCTTTGAGTTTATAGTGCCCCCCCCTTTTTTTTATTCCTGACACACAGCAGGCACCTAATAAACATTAATTAAATTGAATAAAATATGTTTTTCAAGCAGTGTTACAGAAAATACAGTCCCTAGATTCAGGCTCCTTATTAAGTTCTATTTTGAAAAGAGAGTCAAGCCATTCAGCTATAAATGGGTCTGAGGTGATCATGGGGATTCTTGGAGAACTGAATTCATTTCTCTGCCCTTTCCTCACTTTCTTCTTGGGCATTTTACAAAGACATGCTTTTGCTTCCTCCAAGGAAACCTCCCTACCTGCCATAATATTATTACTTCTAAAATGAGAAAATATTTTTTCAAAATAAGGTACTTACTCTCCGGATCCATAAAGATTTCCATAGGCATTGGAGTCATTACAACTCTGCTCCTGATTCTCAATGGTATAATTAGATTGGTAAAAATCAGAGTCAAATTGTCCCAAGTTTGACATCCTGAAAAATAAGAATATTTTTTACCGCAAAGTTTACAAGTCAATAAAACATCTTTTGGGCCGAAACCGGTTTGGCTCAGTGGATAGAGCGTCGGCCTGCGGACTGAAGGGTCCCAGGTTCGATTCCGGTCAAGGGCATGTACCTGGGTTGCGGGCACATCCCCAGTGGGGAGTGTGCAGGAGGCAGCTGATCGGTGTATCTCTCACATCGATGTTTCTAACTCTCTATCTCTCTCCTTTCCTCTCTGTAAAAAAATCAATAAAATATATTTTAAAAAAACACACAAAAACAAAAAACATCTTTTGGGATACTATAAAGACTGACATGTGATGACAAATGGGTTCTTACCAGAGAACACTATATTCTTTGCATGGGGCAGATTGAGTATTGGGGGAAGGATATGGAAATGTGTTCTAAAACGTCATTTACAAAACATGTATCTGCAATGAACTTTTCTGAAGTTTTCATTCACCAGGACTATGACTTTGCCTAAATTGACGTTAATTGATCTGAAGAAGCTAACATTTTGCCACAAATACCTTCTTCTCAGCAGTTTAAGAGAAAAAGCCTAAGACTTGGTACACATCTAAAGGTTTTCTTTTAAACAATGTCAGTTCCTTATTTCAATTATTACTTAAAAGTAATAATTTACATTTAAAAGTTTTACATTTAGGCATATATATGTTATTGTTGCAAAGTTGAAAAGCAAATGGCTGATAATAATAATAATAATACCATTTCATTTTTATTTTTTCCTGTGCTAACAGCCTCTCCGCTCCCTTCTGGCTGAGTCAGAGGGGAAAGGCTCAGTTCTGCTAAGAAAACAGTCTGTCTTCCTATAAACTCTCTACATAGTTTCTACTCACTTTGGAGAGTGAAGGGAGTATATGATTGATTCAGACCTAACAAATAGGCATATCAGTGGGAAGAAGAAAGATTGGAGAGGAGGAAAAGGTAGAGGAAGAAAGCAAGAGCAAAGCAGTAGTGGCTCTTTAGATGAAAATTAGAGAATGGAGTAGAGAATCTTTTCAGTTGGACAGATGTGGTCAGTCAATTCAACATTTTAATCTTTGCTTTGCTTTGAAAAACTTTTTATTTCAAAATAGTAAATTTTAAAATCACTAGGAGTAATCTATATAGTTATAGTAATTTGTGGAATAATACTTGCAATACATTTCAAATGCATCTCATAAACAGCCCTAGCTCTAAGAGCCTCATTAATCAGAAATACTCAAGCACAATTGTCAAATATATAAAATTTTCTCACTTCAGTACAAGTACAGAAAGCTCTGTAAAATTAGGTGCAGATTCATATACCTGATTTAATAAATCAAGATTTTTTCATTAATATTGAGCATAAAAGTAGCTATAAATTATGTAAGCTAAAATCAGGACTCAGAGGATGTTAAATATTTTAACAACTTATAATTTAAAGAATTTAAAATTTAATAGCATAACTTTCTCAGTCCATTAAAATGCTATTATAAAGCATAGAGAGTAATTTCACTGGAGAATACACGTAAGTTTTCATAACATGCAAAGCTTTATGTAATATGACTATTGGCAATAAAGTCCTTACATAATCCAGCTTTATATTTTGTTTAAATGCCAAGGTTTTTTAGAAGGATCAGATACATACCTTTATATTATTTTATGTCAAAAATCCTCCAACAAATGTTGCTCTGCTAGAGAAATTTATAACAGATCAGCTTGTGAAAAGATGACCTGCTGGCTATATATATGTTTCTAAATTTGACTCTGACACTGAACAGATGCTTGACAAAAGCCAAACACAGTATCTTATTACACTTGTTAAAGTTTACAAACACAGTGAAAGGCGAAGAAACACAATTTGATGAAGTGAAATGGTAGATTCCGTTTCCTTGTGGGCACATCCCACAAAGAAATGGAACTCTGACTTAAGATCATTTATTTGAGGCAAACAATGGAAGGAAAGAGGAAAACCCTTGAGCTTTACTGCCTATAAGAATAAACCTAGACAAAATTTCCTAATAATATGCAGTACAAATCAATATATGGGTAAAAAAAAGTGAAGGAATTGAGAAGTACAAATTGTTTGTTACAGAATAGCCATTGGGATGAAGAGTGTAGCATAGGGAATATAATCAATAATATTCTAATAATTAAGTAAGGTGTCTGATGGGTGTGAGATTTATCAGGATGATCACTTAGTAAGTTATGTAATATCTAATCACTGGGGTGTACATCTGAAACTAATATAATTATATATGGCAACTCTAATTGAAAATAAAAAAAATGATAAAATATATATACACTAGAGGCCTAGTGCATGAAAATTCGTGCACTGGAGGGGGGGGGGCCCTCAGCCCACCTGTGCCCTCTGGCAGCTTGGGAGCCTTCGGGGGATGTCCACCTGCCTGCTTAGACCTATTCCCTGTGGGAACGGGCTTAAGCTGGCAGTCAGACATTCCTCTGGCAGCCCAGTAGCTCTTAGGGGATATCTGACTGAGGGCTTAGGCCAGCTGTGTGCAAACTACGGCCCGCGGGCTGGATCTGGCCCGTTTGAAATGAATAAAACTAAAAAAAAAAAAAAAGACCGTACCCTTTTATGTAATGATGTTTACTTTGAATTTATATTAGTTTACACAAAGACTCCATCCATGCTTTTGTTCCAGCCTTCCGGTCCAGTTTAAGAACCCATTGTGGCCCTTGAGTCAAAAAGTTTGCCCACCCCTGGCTTAGGCCCAGTGGGAGCGGGCCTAAGCCACAGTCAGACAGCCTTAGCACTGCCATGGAGGCAGGAGAGGCTCCCGCCACTGCCGCTGTGCTTGCAGCCATCAGCCAGCTTGTGGCTGAGTGGAACTCCCCCTGTGGGAGCACACTGACCACCAGGGGGGCAGCTCTGGCATTGAGTGTCTGACCCCTGGTGGTCAGTGCACACCATAGCGACCAGTTGTTCTGCCCTTAGGGTCAATTTGCATATTACCCTTTTATTATATAGGACTAGAGGCCCGGTGCACAAAAATTTGTGCACTTGGGGGGGTCCTTCAGCCCAGCCTATGCCCTTTTGCAGTCTGGGACCCCTCGGGGGATGTCCATTTGCCAGCAGGGAGCAGACCTAAGCTGCAGTCAGACATCCTTATTGCTACTGAGGAGGCAGGAGAGGCTCCCGACACTACCGCTGTGCTGGCAGCCATTAGCCTGGCCTGTGGCTGAGCAGAGCTCCCCCTGTGGGAGCGCACTGACCACCAGGGGGCAGCTCCTGCATTGAGCATCTGCCCCCTGGTGGTCAGTGTGTGTCATAGTGACCAGTCATTCCCAGTGGTTCTGCTATTAGGGTCAATTTGCATATTACCCTTTTATTATATAGGATAGAGGCCTGGTGCACGGGTGGGGGCCAGCTGGTTTGCCCTGAAGGGTGTCCTAGATCAGGGTAGGAGTCCCGCTGGGGTGCCTGGCCAGCCTGGGTGAGGGGCTGATGGCTGTTTTCAGGCTGGTCAAGCCCCCCCAGTGGGGACCCTCACACCATGGGGGTTTGGCCAGCCTGGGTGAGGAGCTGATGGCTGTTTTCAGGCTGGCCACAGCCCCTTCAGGGTAGGGGTCCCTGCTGGGGTGCCTGGCCAGCCTAGGTGAGGGACTGATAGCTGTTTTCAGACTGAGCAAGACCCCGGCGACTGAAGCTCCCAGCCTTTCTTTTTTTTTTTTTTTTATTTGCTCCAGCTCCATGGCCATGGCGGCTGGAAGCAGGTTTCTGGGGTTTATTTGCCTTCTATAATTGAAACTTTGTTGCCTTGAGAGGAGGCAGCAGCTGGCCTGGAAGTTTGGCTTCCTCCATCATTGGGGCAACCAAGCCTCCTGCTTGCTCCAGCTCTGTGGCTGCCAGCCGCCATTTTGGTTGGGTTAATTTGCATTTACTCGCTCTGATTGGCTGGTGGGCTTGGCTTAAGGTGTAGCGAAGGTACGGTCAACTTGCGTGTTTGTCTTTTATTAATGTAGATAATCTTAACATGATGAACTTAGCAACTATCTAAACATATATATATTGTCAATTTTATCCAAATCTGAACTATTCAATTTATATAAACAACACTTAGGCCAGCACCGGTTTGGCTCAGTGGATAGAGCGTCAGCCTGTGGACTGAAGGGTCCCGGGTTCGATTCCGGTCAAGGGCATGTGCCTTGGTTGCGGGCACATCCCCAGTGGGGGGTGTTGCAGGAGGTAGCTGATTGATGTTTCTCTCTCATCGATGTTTCTAACTCTTTATTCCTCTCCCTTCCTCTCTGTAAAAAAAAAATCAATAAAATATATATTTTTTTAAAAAAAACAACATTTAGGAAAGCTAAATGCAGTAGGGATAAGGAAAATAATCTCCATTTGTAATTTCTTAGATCTCTTTGGTGACCTGTAAAGTAATGAAGAGATTGTGAGCTGACCAACAGCTACATCTGAAGCAATTTGCCCTTTGTCTGACAACAATACACACATATATGTATTAAAGGATGAATGGTTAGAGCAGCCGTGGGCAAACTACGGCCCGCGGGCTGGATCCGGCCAGTTTGAAATGAATAAAACTAAAAAAAAAAAAAAAACCGTACCCTTTTATGTAACGATGTTTACTTTGAATTTATATTAATTCACACAAACACTCCATCCATGCTTTTGTTCCAGCCCTCCGGTCCAGTTTAAGAACCCATTGTGGCCCTCGAGTCAAAAAGTTTGCCCACCCCTGGGTTAGATGGATGAATGAATGAACACTATTTTTAATTTTGCATACTCAGGACCCCATATTCTATTGGCATGTATCAATCTAAGAATCATATAAGATTATTACTTTCATTACTGCAGTCTTTTGATATGAAACTAGAGGCTCAGAGTGGCTAAGTGACTTGTGCAAAGTCACACATCTAGTATGTGACAGAACCCAGTTTGGAATAATAATTATCTCATTCAGCTCAGTTTCCTTTCATTATGCAGACTGTTTCTTCCAAAAGACTACCTATGGCTGTCCAAAACACTGGTGTTAAGAATGCACCTGTTTGGCCCTGGTTTTGCTCAGTGGATAGAGCATCGGCCTGCAGACTGAAAGGTCCCGGGTTCAATTCTGGGCAAGGGCACATGCTCAGGTTGCGGGCTTGATCCCCAGTGTGGGGCATGCAGGAGGCAGCCGATCAATGATTCTCTTTCATCTTTGATGTTTCCATCTCCCTCTCCCTCTCCCTTCCTCTTTGAAATCAATAAAAAAATATACTTTAAAAGAGAATATACCTGTTTGGAAACACAAATAATATTTATTCACAAACTACAAAACATATTTTCAGCTGAACAAAGCTGCCAATGAACCAAGAGAAAAACGTCATCATTTTCTACCTCTGCCAACAGAGAAATGGCTTTTTACCAGTGTTTAGATTGCCTGTATTCTCTACATAATCCTTTGTTAATACTACATAAGATTTGTTCCCAATCATCTGACCTTTAAAGACTATGCTGCTTCTATTTCACGAACCTGAAACTGCAGCCCTGAATGTTACAGTCACATGAAAATGGGTATAAAATTTTGTTTTAAGGCATGAATTTTAAAGAGCTTACTGTGTTCTATGGCAAGAAAAAAAATAAAATTACAGGGTTTCCATCATTAATGCTATCATAATTATCTTTGACTTCTAATTTGCTAGCTTTCACTTTTGTCTTAGAAAAAAATGGAATATAACAAATTATGATTTCAAGTTTTTAGCTTGGTCATTACTGAATGTTAGTAAAAACACAATTTTCCTTAAAGTTATGAAAGTCTATATGAGCAGTAGTTGAGTTGTACATTGTTAGTAACCATATTGTTATAATAATCATTTTTAAATGTAATAAATTCAATTTATATACATTTAGCAGACTCATATCACTAACTTCTATAGAAAATCTTTCCAAGAAGTTATATAAATTCCTCCACAATTTATCTAACCACATGTATCTTTAGTTCCCTCATTTATAAACAAGAATAAACTTTATATCCTAGGGACTAGTTATTTTATCTTTATCTCATCAACTGAATTTTATTTTTCCACGTTTCATTATATATCCAAATTATTAATCAATATATATCTTATGCCTGTGTATATATGTGTATAAAATATGAGAATTAGACAGGATTTTGCAACAGGAGCAATTAACCTAGCGGGGGCAAGTAGTAAGTGCTCAAAATAGTGTTATCTATTTTGATTATGCTTCTAGGTGAAAACAAAGTTGTATTATTAAGTGTGAGTCCTTATTCACCCATTATTTACACATAAATATATTTTAGTGAACTCTATTTTGATATTACATAAATCTATATGAAAAATCATCTTACCAAAAGAAGGGGGGGGAGGATCTTTTGCAAATGCCGTGTCCTGTAAACAGATTGTGATGAGACATACTTCTTCAGCATTCATCTCTTACTTTTTAATAAAAAAATAATAGGCTAAGCATGGACTTTATTGCCAAGGTACCACTTATTATTTTGACCAAACTCCCATAGATACCAGTTAATATAGATGAAATTATATATTGGCTTTATTACTTTTAGCAATGAAAGGTGAAATTCTTCCCAATGCTCTGCCATAATTATACCTTTGCAATTATGCCATTATGAAGTTTTTTCCCAAGGCATGCCAAATTTAACTTGAATATTTTATTATATTCAGTGCATGAAAGTAGTTACAGCAGTTTGGAAAACAATGACCAGTTGTCAATATAGAAATTCTATTTAATAAGACAGTATTCCCACCTTCTTTTGGCACTATAATCTCACTAACTACTTAAAGCTTTGAGTTTTAACTTAATGGGACATTTACTCAAACATTGGCTTGATATAGAGGAGCCCTTTTAAGGGTAACTCTCTACTCTGTAGTATTTACATTTTCATTTACAAGCATGACTAGGGAAAGTAGTGGACAGAGTAACAAAATAATTTTTTAAAATATATTTTTATTGATCTGAGAGAGAGACATCAATGATGAGAGAGAATCATTGATTAGCTGCCTCCTAAACTGCCCCTACTGGGGATCAGGCATGTGCCCTGACCAGGAACTGAACTGTGACCTCCTGGTTCATAGGTCGACACAAACACTGAGCCACACCAGCTGGGCAATTTCATTTTCTTTTTAAAACAAATTATTGGGTATCGAGTTTAAAATGGCACTAGGCTAGAAATTTGCCTGACAATTACTAGAAAAACACGTATGGGGGTTTATAAGATAAATCAATCCACAATCTGAAAAACTAATCCTTGGAATTAACCTACTGCCAGAATCTGGGCAAATTCCTATGATAAAACGAATGAGTCTATAGTGAGGAAATGATTTTTGACCATCATATTCTTTCCTTTATGCAGAATAGCTCGCTTATATGAAAAGAAGTAGTGAGATTTAAGACCTCTGGAGAGTTAAGTTTTACACTAAATAGAAGAGAGAACAGCTGCCCCTCTGCTGTAAGGATGCTGCTCTTACAAGTATCAGTGGAATAACCCTGCCACCTGCTCCTGTGTTCTCACATATTTAGAGAAAGTCAATCCTAATGGAAAGGGGGATGGTGAAAGAAGACATGGGGAAGGGGCTGGCTGAAGGTTCCTGCTAATGACGGCTCTGTGCATCCTGAGAACTGTCGCTCCCCCCAACGCTGCCCTTCCTAGAGTCAGAGACAAGAGGCACCCAGTGACAATGTATACTGAGGAAACAGAGCTCTTCATGCGCCACACAACCACTCACTGGCCTGATGGGAAAGATGTGCAGCATGACACAGTGGAGCATGGAAACGAATAGGAGAACTACTATTAGCACTTATTCTTATGCAATGAGAACAAAAACATCACGCCTTACTACTGTAGTTTACACGTTTATCCTGTGCTCTCCCTGTTGCTGAGGCTTTATCTGCGGTGTTTGTGAGGTCCTCCAGGCAGTGGGCGCCCACAACTTGGAGAGGTTGAGTGGTGCCCATTTTCATCCCTTCCCTTTTGTGTGTGTCTTTTTTAAAATATATTTTTATTGATTTCAGAGAGGAAGGGAGGAGATAGAAACATCCGTGATGAGGGAGAATCATTGATCAGCCGCCTCCTGCATGCCCCCTACCGGAGGTCAAGCCCACAACCCGGGCATGTGCCCTTGGACCAGAATGGAACCTGGGACCTTTCCGTCCACAGAGCTCTATCCACTGAGCCAAACCAACTAGGACACCCCTTTCCTTTTGTAGGACCACAAGGTATCATGAGTGCCCTTTAAATGGAGTTATGTATTGGATCTCCTTAACCTAAGTTTCCCTCACAATATGCACACATACCTTCGAAGTCAAATTCAGAGTCAGAAGACAGGTGAAACGAGAAGACAATGGATTAGAAAAAAACACACGAGCAGGAAGTTGACATTAAAAGAGGGTAGAGTTCGCCCTGGCCGGTGTGGCTCATGGTTGAGCGGGGACCCGCGAACCAGGCGGTCACTGGGGTGATTCGGGGTCACGGCACATGCTTGGGCACATGCTTGGGCCGTGGGCTCCATCCCCAGGGGGAGCCATGCAGGAAGCAACCCACTGATGTTTCTCTCTCTCCAGTGTTTGTATTTATCCCGCTCCCTTACGCTCTCTCTAAAACACCAATGACCATTAAAAAGTATTTCTAAAAGTCAGCTTTCGGAAGTTCATTCTCTAACAAAGGTGCCAGTAGCAATTACTAGTGAGTACTGTACAGTCACGACTTGGAGCAGTTCCAGGAACCGACGAGAAACAACACAACGGGCCGACGGGACGTCCCACAGCTTCTGTCTCCGCCCTGGGCACCGAACCCCAGGTCTCGCAGAAAATCCCACGGGCGCTGGTGGGAGACAGACGCTGGAGTCGGCATGCAGGCCTCATTCCCTCTTACTTACACTTCCCCTCCGCCTTCCGTAGCCCAGCTCTGCCCTCTGCCAGACAAACTTGTGTTGAAGTGGGAACTGAAAGACGATGGAGACAGCAGGGTACTCAGAGGGTAACTTTCCCCACCTTCACTTCCGGCCCAAACTTTCCTAGGACACACTGCAGTCATTTTACCGCCGGTTTCCTTTCAGAAGCGCTAAGATATTAGCGATGTCACTGACAACATAGACTTCCATATTTTAAAAACAATTACAATATTATTTTGCTACGGGGTAGAAAGCTAAATCCGAACGCTACGCTGAGAACATAGTGAGAACTGATCTGGAGAGCTTCCCCTCACCGGACGTCCTGGCGCCCCGGCGCCCTCGCGCAGAGGCACGCTAGCGTCGTGACGTCGTCCGACGTGCGGACGTCGGCGCGCGGCGCTCAGTCTACGGAGTTCCGGCGGATACACCAGTTGGGCGGTGCTGCTCAGGCACCTGGTCCCCTTGGTTTCCGAAAGTCTGTTTGGATCCTGTTCGCCGCCCCTAACGCGGCGTCTTGGAGGAAACCGAGCGGCTGGCGATGTTCCTAACGCGCCTCGGGACCTTCCCCTGATGCCTGCGTCGCCCGGGGGGATGCGGATCCTGGCGGGTCGGGGCTGGTGGCGCGGACGCGCGCTCGCGGCGTGGTTCACCTGGGCTCCGGGTCGGGCGCTGCCTTGGCCTCCGGGCGCGCGGACCGGCGGGGCCGCTGGCGACTCCTGGGCTCTGGACAGGCTCTGCAGCTCTGCCGCGCGCAAGGTGACCGCCGCCTCGGTTCTGGCCAGCTCCGTGTGGGAAACCGGGAGGGAGCTTCCCGAGGGTTTGGAGGCGGGAAGGGCTTCCTAGGACTGACGGCCTGTCCACGCGGGTGGCGACCCCGCGAAGGAGGCGGAGCTGGCGCGAGCGCTGCTGTGGTTGCTCAGCTCCCGGCCTCTCGCCGGTGACCTTGGACCAGTCACTTCCCGTGTTGCCTCCTTGATGATGCCGGTAGCTCAGTGTATGGGAGGCGGTGAGCTAGACGCTTGGCATCTCTTACTTTCCTCCTAAAATCCTGCCGAGGAAGCTCAGGCAGCGGTTCTCAACCTGTGGGTCGCGACCCCTTTGGCGGTCGAACGACCCTTTCACAGGGGTCGCCTAAGACCATCCTGCACATCAGATATTCACATTACGATTCATCACAGTAGCAACATTACAGTCATGAAGTAGCAACGAAAATAATTTGATGATTGGGTCACAACCTGAGGAGCTGTGTTTAAAGGGCCAGAAGGTTGAGAACCACTGTCAGCCAGGGGGCTCTCAGTTTCCTTGACGTGCATTAGCCCTGCGACCTGGGCGAGCCCCTAGACCCTCCTGTGGCTGCTGCTGCATCGACGACCTGAGACACGAATAAAAAACGTGGAATGCCCGTTTGTGAGGACCGCGCGAGGGAAGGCAGAGAATTTGTAGTCCGATGCCTAGAATGTAAGCAGTGCGAGGCATGCCCTGGCTTCGGCGGTGTCCTTGTGTTTTACCGCAGCCGGAGCGAAGCTGTGTCCCTCGGGCTCTGTCCTTGTGGTTGGAGATGGGGGGGGGGGGGGGGCGGGGGGAGAAGAATCTGAAAAACGACGCTGTCCGGTAACCGTGGAGAGAGAGCGTTCAGACGGGAAAGTGAAGTGATTGCAAGTTATGAGTAACTGGGGAAAAAAAAATAAGACTTAACATTAGCCAGTTTTCCCCATTTCTAAAATGACTGTGGAATTTATTTTATTTATTGTTTTGAAAATATATTTTATTGATTTTTTACAGAGAGGAAGGGAGAGGGACAGAGAGTTAGAAACATGGATGAGAGAGAAACATCGATCAGCTGCCTCCTGCACATCTCCTACTGGGGATGTGCCGGCAACCCAGGTACACGCCCTTGACCGGAATCGAACCTGGGACCCTTGAGTCCGCAGGCCAACGCGCTATCCACTGAGCCACACCGGTCAGGGCATGACTGGAATTTAAAAGGAATTTGTGCCGCAGTTGAAAGTCCTTAAATATGGCGAGGGCGGGGCATCCTGGCAAATCTAAACAGTCACAAGGTTACTTCTGTTTAGCCCACGCTTGTGGAACAATTTACACCAACCTAAGAACAATGAGGGGAAAAAAGGTATTTAATGTTCAGTTTAAAAACTAAACGAGGATTTGTTTGCCTTATCAGTACAAGACTCGCCAACAATGGAGACAAAATTAATATTAAACTTACTGGTGTGTCTCTTGAACGGCGGGGAAGGGATCATACAGGGCAAACAGATCCGGTGTAGTTTTTTTTTTTTTTTTTTTTGCAGAATTTATTGCAGGCATAGTTGCACCGTTATTCTCTTTTCTTGGAGCATTCATAACAAGGAAACTTAAAGCTCATAAGAACGTTGTATTTCATTGTAATTTCATGGCACTTTTGGGGGAGCTGATTATAAAATAAACTGACATATTTTACTTGGATACCAATTTGTTCAGCAGTTTGTAATGAGTCCTGGTAAAAATTTAAGAAGATGTGCGAACTGAAAGTCGGGAGTTGTATTTTAAAATAGTTTTGAATTTTAAGATAATAAATAGGAGTTCTTTTTGCTGATGTGACCTTTCTCCCTCTTCAGGGAAGTTGCTGAGTAACAAAATTGTATCTAAATTAAACTTTTGAAGATTCTATTAGGAGCACAGATTTTTAAATAGACCTAATTGGTAATTAAATGTGTGATGCAGGCAAAGGATTTGGTTTTTATCCCCCCCCCCCCCCAGCTTTTCTATAACTTTTTTTTTTTTGGCCTCAAAGAAGTTTGTTAGACTCTGTGTTCTTAGCAGTTCATAAGTTCTAGATGTCTTGTGTTCTCCACCTATGAAAATAAATTCAGTTTCTCCTTGACCCTCTAAGTCAGTGGTTCTCAACCTGGGCTGCACATTAGAATCACCTGGGAATCTTTTCAAAATCCTGATTTCTGGGCCTCATCCTCCGGAAATTCTGTTTCTTTGTTCCTAATGTTGTGGCCCCGCCCCATAACAAAGACACAGAATTTCCGGAGGATGAGGCCCAGAAATAAGGATTTTAAAAAGATTCCCAGGTGATTCTAATGTGCAGCCAAAGGTTGAGAACCACTGCTCTAAGTGGTGGAATAACTATTAAGAACTTTTATTTAGTTGCATAGTCACCTTTGATAGTAAAACATGTTTAATAAGTCATAATTCATTGCTTATAATATGAGTTTATATGTGACTTTATTGTTAGGGGAATAAAAAATACAAATAATATAGATGCAATGAGTGAAATTTTTCAAAGAAGAATATTAAAAGAATATTCTTTGAATCACTATACTTGTTTCATATTGTATGAAATTTACACTCATAAATCTAATATTTCTCCCTCCTTTCCAGGAAAAAGTTGACATGTCTAGATTCCCTGTTGAAAATATTAGAAATTTCAGTATCATTGCACATGTGGATCATGGCAAAAGTACTTTAGCTGACAGGCTCCTGGAATTAACAGGTATTTTCATTTCATATTATATAGTTAATTGATGGCAATGAATAATTGATTGTTGCTTTTACCATGCTTTTTAAATTTTGTTTTAATTTTATATACTGTATTGTTTCTTTTTAAGAGTCCATATAAAATTATGAATTTCTATTTATAGGGACAATTGATAAAACAAAGAATAATAAGCAAGTTCTTGATAAATTGCAAGTGGAACGAGAAAGAGGAATCACTGTTAAAGCACAGACAGCATCTCTTTTCTATAATTGTGAAGGAAAACAGTATCTTTTAAATCTCATCGACACACCAGTAAGTTTAATTTTGTCTCCATTGTTAGTGAGTCTTGTATTGATAATGCAAACAAATCCTTGTTTAGTTTTTAAATTGAACATTAAACACCTAGCTTTGTTTTTTGTTTTCTCATTGTTCGTAGGTTAGTATAAATTGTTTCACAAGCGTGGGCTAAACCGAAGTAACCTTTTGTTTACTGTGGAGTCATTAGATTTGCCATAATGCCCCTCCCCCTAAAAAACTGTAGCTAACATTTAGAGGTATCAATATGTTTTGTTTCTCAGGGCCATGTTGATTTTAGTTATGAAGTATCCAGGTCACTGTCTGCTTGCCAGGGTGTTTTACTAGTGGTTGATGCAAATGAGGTAGGTACCTTTAATTTTATATCATGTGACATACTGTTTGGTTGTTTCAAGATGTTTTCCTTAAAATGGGTTTTGGAAATACAATTTTTGTGTTTGAAAAAAATAAGATTTATTGTTTTACTTAACCAAAATCATATGTTTTGGTCCTGTTAATTTGAAGTTTATTACATTAAAGTATTTTTTTGAAATTCATTTGTTCATCTTTTAACATTTTTAAGCCGATCAGAGAAATTGTCTAATTGTAGTTTTTGTTGAAATAAGTCAGTTACATCCTACCAAAAAAAACCCCTCAATTTTTAACAGCTCTTAATCTGAGTGTTCCATATCAGTTTTTAGCAGATGTTGAAAATAAATCTTTACTTTTGAGGTCATTTTGGGTGATTTTAAGGTAATAATATGAGAAGTGTTAAGTTTAAAGAAACATACTAATAACATTACCAACTTCTTTTGTGTTACAAACATACCATATGAACATAGTAACTAAATGACCATATAGGAATTATGATATGCTATGTAAAATAAGCTTTTGCTATACTGTTTATCATAAACTTTTCATTCAAAATCCAGAGGAAAGTCAATCTCTACCTTATATACAAACTACTGGACTTTATAAACTGTATCACGCAGCTGCCCCATAGAATAAAAGCCTAATATGCTAAGCGTCTGGTCATCCAGTCAACCAATCAAAGCGTGATATGCTAATGATATGCTAAGGCTGCTCAGCCGATCGCTCTGACGGGCACTGGCCACAAGGGGGCAAACAGTCGACTGGTCGACCAGCTGCTATCACGTGCACTGACCACTAGGAGGCAGACAGTCAACCTGTCAACCAGTCACTG